TTAAAGCAGTCTCACCATATCTGAGTCTACGCATGTGTCTCTTCGAGATGACAGTCCAGGGGCACCTGGCTGGCTCAGTCGGTAGAGAGCACGACTCTTGATCTCAGGGTTGTGAGTTCGAGCCCCACGTTCAGTGTAGAGATTATTTAAAAAATAAAATCTCGGAGGAGCGCCTGGGTGGCTCAGTCGTCAAGCGTCTGTCGGCCTTCGGCTCAGGTCATGATCCCAGGGTCTTGGGATCGAGCCCCACATCGGGCTCTCTGCTTGGCCGGGAGCCTGCTTCTCCCTCTCCCGCTCCCCCTGCTTGTGTTCCCTCTCTCGCTGTGTCTCTCTCTGTCAAATAAATAAATACAATCTTAAGAAAGAAAAAAAGAGTACACTAACAATCCAAGAAAACCTTGTCATTTTAACATAGAAAACCCAAATCTCAATCTTATACCAGTGTGCTTTTCTTCTTCTTTTTTTTATTCTTATGTTAATCCCCTACATTACATCATTAGTTTTAGATGTGGTGTTCCATGATTCATTGTTTGTGCACAACACCCAGTGCTCCATGCAGAATGGGCCCTCCTCAATACCCACCACCAGGCTAACCCATCCTCCCACCCCCCTCCCCTCTAGAACCCTCAGTTTGTTGTTCAGAGTCCATCGTCTCTCATGGTTCGTCCGCCCCTCCGATTTCCCCCGCTTCATTCGTCCCCTCCCGCTACCTTCTTCTATTTTTTTTTTCTTCTTCACATAGATTGCGTTATTTGTTTCAGAGGTACAGATCTGAGATTCAACAGTCTTGCACAATTCACAGCGCTTGCCAGAGCACCTACCCTCCCCAGTGTCTATCAGCCAGTCACCCCATCCCTCCCACCCCACCCCCCACTCCAGCAACCCTCAGCTTGTTTCCTGCGATTAAGAATTCCTCCTATCCGTGAGATCATAGGATACATGTCTTTCTCTGTTTGACTTATTTCGCTCAACATAATACCCTCCAGTTCCACCAGTGTGCTTTTCAAACTGCCTTCTCCCAAGCTCAGTCAGTCCTGACCATGCATAAAATTCCTTTTCAAAAATTCTCCTTCACAAACCCCTTCCACAATTTCCTTTTTCATTCAGACTCGGTCTTAAAGTTTTCTTTCTTTAAGTACCCAGTCCCGTTTCAGTACACCATTACTTCCTTTTCCCTCAACAAAAAAAATGTTTTCTCATTTCTTGTACCTCTTTTACACGTCTCCTACCTTCCCACACACGGAGTTGTTTTTGTTATCATTTTGTAGCAGTCCCAATTCCATGTGGCAGAATTTTAATTCTTAGAAATCTCAGTCTCTGGTGAAACGTTAGTAGTAACCAATGGCGCACTCTCTATTACACCAGAATTCTTTAGATTGGCAAATGTATGAATATATTTCATAAATTTTATTTATTTGACAGAGAGAGACACAGCGAGAGAGGGAACACAAGCAGGGGAAGGGACAGAGGGAAAAGAAGGTTCCCCAATGAACAGGGAGCCCAATGCGGGGCTCGATCCCAGGACCCTGGGATCATGACCTGAGCCGAAGGCAGACGCTGAACGACTGAGCCACCCAGGCACCCAAACGTGGTTGGTTGGTTGGTTGGTTTTTATAAAGGTGATGGAGAGGTATATTTTGATAACCACAAATACAGGCTCACTGTTGTGACGGGAGCGTGGCACATTCCACTGCCCACCCAACGGCTTGTAACGCAGGGAGAACCGAATCCAAGTGCTTTTATGACAAAGAAAAGAAAGAAAAGGAAAGAAAGAAAGAAAGAAAGAAAGAAAGAAAGAAAGAAAGAAAAAGGAAAGAAAGAAAGAAAGAAAGAAAGAAAGAAAGAAAGAAAGAAAGAAAGAAAGAAAGAAAGAAACGCAAAGTTGATTATTTGTATTATGTGTGACATTGATAGCTCCAAAACCACGTCTTTTTAAAATAAACCAACAACCTTGAATTGGCTTTAACGCCAAAGAAGTTGCACCTGCGTCCACTAAAAAGTCAATCGATTGTTTTCCCCCATCAGACTCCTTGGGGAAAGTCTGAAGCGGGCGGTCTAAGATCAGCGGAGCCCTCGGGCCCCTTCCTGCTAGTTTGGGAGGTGCTCCAATTTAAACCTCATAAGGAGGTGGCCCAAGGGCTTGGGCCCAAGGGCAAGGGCTTTTGCTCCTTGATAAGGGGGTGGGGAGGAGGAGGAGGAGGAGGAGGAGAAAGGGGAGCCCATGGCACCCGGGGGGGGGGGGGCGGGGGGGCGGGGGTAGGGAAGGGCGGCTGAGACGGCGGCAGGGGAGTAGAGCACTCCAGGCACACACACCAGTGGTGCAGAAACGGGGCAGGGGAGGCGGCAAGGGAGCCATTGGTAAGGCCCAGGGCACATATACATTTACAGTTTTGGACGAACCTTTTCTTTTTTTTCTTCTCCGCCTCCGCCTCCGCCTCCGCCTCCGCCTCCGCCTCCGCCTCCGCCTCCGCCTCCGCCTCCGCCTCCGCCTCCGCCTCCGCCTCCGCCTCCGCCTCCGCCTCCGCCTCCGCCCCTTTCTTCATCTCCTTCTGCTTAATAGGCTTTGTCTGTGGTGGCTTTTCAGCCCTCCGGAAGCCAGTGGGTTGGGCATCGGTTCTGGTGCCTGTACTTGGGGAGGAGGAGGAGTGGATTTCAGATTTCTAGCATCGGCCTGTCTTCCTCCTCTTCTTCATTATTTTGACTGTTGGGAAGTGGGGGTAAGGTCAGGTGTGTTAAATTTTTGTCTATCTCTGGGCCGTCCCTTGGGTCCCTTACCTTGAGGCATCTTTATTGTGGAGTGACATAAGAGTCTGAATGTAGGGAATTTCATCCCAGATCATGTGAGCTTGAAAAACTGGGTTTATTCTTATCTGAGTTTTACCATGCCCGATTTTTACGAGCACCTGCCTCTAAACTCTTTAAGTAGGGGCACCTGTGTGGCTCAGGCAGTTAAGTGTCTGCCTTGCGTTCACATCATGATCCTGGGGTCCTGGGATGGAGCCCCACATCCGGCTCCCTGCTCCGCGGGGAGTCTGCTTCTCCCTCTCCCAATGCCCCCCCACCCCCAGCTCGTGTGCTCTCTCACTCGCTTTCTTTCAAAGACATAAATAGAATCTTTAATAAAAATAAAACTCGGGGCACCTGGATGGCTCAGTGGTTAAGCGTCTGCCTTTAGCTCAGGTCATGATCCGAGGGTCCTGGGATCAAGCCCCTGCATCGGGCTCCCTGCTCGGCGGGAAGCCTGCTTCTCCCTCTCCCACTCCGCCTGCTTGTGTTCCCTCTCTCGCTGTGTCTCTCTCTGTCAAATAAATAAATAAAATCTTTAAAGAATAAAATAAATAAAATAAAATAAAATAAAATAAAAATAGAACTCATTAAATAGAGCTCCTTTACAAATGGATGTTAGCAATAGCACCCGGAGGTGGAGGAAATACCTCACATGTATAACACATACGGACACATAGACACAAACAAGATGCAAACAAATTTTAGCCTTTGTTTCAGTCTTATTTGTGGAGAGGACATGAATGGAGAGGACACGAAAGACCCAATGTTCAAATCTCCCTCTTTTAGTAAAACAAATGCAACTGCGAAGCAGCATTACCGTGTACAGATCCCACCCGTCAGTTGTTTTCCATTCCCAATGGAAACAGGGTCGGTTTTATGCAAAGATAGCAAAAGCTGCAGCAACCAACCAACCAACCAACCAACCAACCAACCAACCAAATGAAGACCAGAGCATCTCCCTGAGTGTTGGTTCCTCCCCAAAAGTCGGGGCTTCACTGAGGGAACCAAAGAGCTTCCTAGTTTCTGATCACCCAGTCTCCTAGCAGGCTTTCTCTAATTGTGTACACAATTCAGACATGTCAAAAGAACCCCGCTTGGGCCATCTGAGACTCATGTTATCGTGAAATGTTTCCCATGCAAGTAAGCACTTGCAAGTATAGGCTCCCTATGCATTGTACATGTAGCGTGCAGGTGTTTCTTGTGAGGGTGGGCCGTTGTTTCCTCAACATTTGGTGCAGGGTTCTACAGAGTTTTGGTTTGTTTCGTTGGTTTGGTTTTCTGCACACGTGTGTGTGTGGGGGGGGTGTGGTGTGGTGTGTTGTGTGGTGTGTATCTGTGTGCACGGTATCTATCGCTGCTGCGCAGCTAGCTGATCCTCAGGGTGCATCATCCTAACACCGCAATGGCTCGAAACAGCATTTCTTTATCGATAACTTCCTGGTGCTTGCCCTGGGTGGCCCCTTGGGTTCTGCGGGTTTACGCCGGGCTCACTCAAGCAGTGGCTTTCGGCCAGAGGGTCAACTTTCACACGTCTGGCAGTCGGTGCCGCCGAGCACCGGGCTGCCTCTGTTGTCAATGCCTCTCATGCTCCAGTCAGCTAGACTGGCTTTCTTACGTGGAGGTCTCAGGACGGCATGCCAAGAAGGTCGAGAACGCCGGCAGACCACCTCTTCAGGTGTAGGCTGTGAAACCAGCCAAGTGTCACTTCTGCTCTATTCTTTGGGTCAAGACAAGTCCCAAGACCCGGTCCAAAATCAAGGGACAGAGCAATCAAGCCTACCTCTGGATAGCAGGAGCATCGAAGTCATAGGACGTGAGGGTGCACACGTGCCGGGACGTGAGGGACACACGGTTGTCGGTCTGCCACAAGGGATTCCTAAACCCTATGCCGCGATGCACATTTTTGCAAAAGTAAGCTTTACGTTTTAGCATCTAAAACATGATTTCCTTTGAATCAACCCCTAGAATTGGATTCACCAGGAAGAAGGGGAAGATGCGTTTTCCAGCCTCTTGATACAGAAGCTCTTGATTTCCAGAGGGCACTTGGAGGACCCTTCACCAGTCTCTGCTTTGTAAGGCGGGGGGAATTTTTTTTTTTTAAGATTTTATTTATTTATTTATTTGTTTGTTTGTTTGTTTGTTTATTTATTTGAGACAGAGAGAGAGAGAGAGAGAGAGAGAGAGAGAGAATGAATGAGAGAGAGCACATGAGAGGGGGGAGGGTCAGAGGGAGAAGCAGACTCCCTGCTGAGCAGGGAGCCCGATGCGGGACTCGATCCAGGGACTCCAGGATCATGACCGGAGCCGAAGGCAGCCGCTTAACCAACTGAGCCACCCAGGCGCCCAAGGCGGGGGAAATTTAATTGGCCAACCCCCCATGAAAAAGCGACCGATCACGTTCCGACGTCCGAATTAAAGGCAGGCTTCCTTTTTAAAGGCATCCATAGAGCAGCCAGCTCCGTGGCAAGGAGCCGGACTTCTGTGTGTCTGATGAGGAATCCCATTCTCGGCATAAAGGCAATCTCGGGGAGCAGTCGGAGGCAGACCAGATCTCAGATCCACCAAACCCAAGAAATCCCTTGTGATCTGAATGGCTGAATTTGTTGAGGTTTCCCTCCCGATGGCTAAGAAGATGCCTTCCTATCACAGATGACAAAACACAAACCAACAAAACCCCGATAGCTGGGCAGGGTCTTCAAGAAAGGGCCCCTTTTTCATGGAAGCCAACTCTTCCATCTCGCGCCACCCGCCATCATGGAGAGGAAGTCTCTCGGGATGAACGAATGCCTTTGCAATCTACGTTAACCGACTCTCTTTTCCGATAGGCTGACACTCTTTCCCCTCGTGGACACGTCCCGAGATCGGCAGGCTTCGGTGCATCGGTCTTCTGTGCACCAAAAGCCGTGCGAAGGCCCCTGTCGTCGAAATGTATTCGGCATGGACGCTAGTGAAGAATTTTAAACCAGTCTAGCCCGGTTCAGTCCTTCAGTCCTTTTTTTTCTCATTTCTTACATGACCGCTGTGTCCTAAAAGGATACAACTGAGGAAACTCCAGATGGAACAGAGGCAAAGGGAAGGGGGGCAGAGCTTCCGTGTTCCGTGACCCCTCTCCAGGAACGCCTCTGTCCCCACCATTTCAGGCGTTCAAGCAACCTGGAAGCTCCCCGAATTAGGTTAGTTCTTCTTCGAAGGGGCGGGGGTCGGGGTGGGGAAGGTTGGGGAGCGCCGAGGTTTGGAAACATTGCAGGGCAATCAAGGCTATTGCCAAATCTCGAGTCCGTGCAGAGGTACGTAAGGTACACGTAAGGCCGGGATGGGGGGCGTGGCGTGGCGTGGCGGGGCGGGGCGGGGCTTGGCGGGGCGGGGGTGGGTGGGTGCGCGCGCCTGGCGGGGAGGGTTGCGGTGTGTGTCCATGTGCGTTCAGCAGGTGTAGGGGAGGAAGAATGTTCCCTCTAACTTCCCTTTCTACTCCCTGTTGGGGGAGAACAGTGAAGAGAGCCCGGGTGAGGGCGAGGGCGACGGTGACGGCGAGGGCGACGGTGACGGCGGGTGGGGGCGAGGCGCGGACAGGAAGGGGGGAGGGGTAGTAGAGGTGTTTATTTCTTTTGGCGGTGATGGAAATGTTCTGGAAATTGCAGTGAAGGTTGTGCAGCTTTGTGAGCCACCTTAAAAAAAAAGAAAAAAAGGCCACCCAATGGCCCACTTTTAAGAGTATGCGAAATATGGCATGCGAATTGTATCTCCACTTCGAAAATCTGTGACGAAACAATGTGATGGACATAGGGAAGGAGGGAGGGACGGACGGGACCCTCACCCTCACCCTCACCCTCACCCTCACCCTCACCCTCACCCTCACCCTGGCTCTCTTCACCGTTCGATCCATGGATCGATCGATCCATCGATCCATCGATCCATCGATCCATCCATCCATCTATACATGCCATGCATGCAGTCTGTCGGTTCATGTAGACATCAAAGGGGGGGGAGGGGAAGGGGGCCACGAGGGGAGGGGAAGGGAGGAGGGGAAGGGAGGAGGGGAAGGGGGCCAAGGGGGGAGGGGAAGGGAGAAGGGGGAAGGGGGAAGGGGGAAGGGGGAAGGGGGAAGGGGGAGGGGAAGGGGGCCAAGGGGGGAGGGGAAGGGAGAAGGGGGAAGGGGGAGGGGAAGGGGGCCAAGGGGGGAGGGGAAGGGAGGAGGGGAAGGGGGGAGGGGAAGGGAGGAGGGGAAGGGGGGAGGGGAAGGGAGGAGGGGAAGGGAGGAGGGGAAGGGGGAAGGGGGGAGGGGAAGGGGGAAGGGGGAAGGGGGAAGGGGGCCAAGGGGGGAGGGGAAGGGGGGAGGGGGGGAAGGGGAAGGGGGAGGGGGGAGGGGGAGGGGGAGGGGGGGAGGGGGAGGAGGGCGTGCATGATACTGGGCATGGTTTTTATTCTGAGTGCTTTTATTTGTTCCCCAAACTAATCACCTCTGTGGAGATAAAAGATCACCCACATGAGAGCGGGAATCATTTCTTGAGGGCAAGAGAGTCTGCGGTCGGCCACCACCGCCTGGGTCTGGCAGAGACGCCAAGCAAACGCAGGCCAGGCGGAGGAGTGGAAAAGCTTTCTGGTGGCAAAAGGGGAAGGTCCGATGAGAGGTTGTTGGGGGTGGGGGAGCAGGATGGGAGCTGACTAGAAGAGGAGTGTCCTAGGTCATTTCAGGGAAAGAGAAACTTGATTTCCGTCCGTGGGTCCATCGATCTCATTCTCTCATTCTCTGGATCTAGCTCTGTGCTCCAGACGAACACATTCGAGGGCAAGACCAGGCGCGGCCAAGAGGACTAGACGGGTGGACGACTAGGCACGGTCAAGGTGGAAAGTGGGGGGCGACTGGGTGGCTCAGTCATTAAGCGTCTGCCTTCGGCTCAGGTCATGATCCCAGGGTGCCAGGGTGCCAGGGTGCCAGGGTCCCGATAATCGAGCCCCGCATCGGGCTCCCTGCTCGGCGGGAAGCCCGCTTCTCCCTCTCCCACTCCCTCTGCTTGCGTTCCCTCTCTCGCTGTGTCTCTGTCCAGTAAAAT